ACATCAACATTTCGACGTCCGTTATCAGCTCCTATCAGTAGTTATCACTTCCCGCCACCCGTCATCAGTGTTCACCTCCGGCCCCTATATATCCTAGAAGTTTGAGCGCTCTGGGTCCAAAGGGGTGAAGTTATGAATTTCCGGTCAGACACACACACACAACCGCTTAGCCGATTATATATAGTAGGATTATAGTCAAGCGTTGCTAGCTTGAAGTCCTTATTATATTACCAGTTTGGCTGCGCACGCATTCGCGTGCATGAGACGGGGCTGCAGCGGTAAAATCGGGCCCATCAGTATTTTTGTCTTGATTTTAGCTTTCTGCTCGGTACATCTTACTTACGCCGCAAACTCCGCCCACATCCGGGTGTGCCACGCCCAGCGTTCACATTCAACCTCTACTCCTACTTTCACCTCTGGCGTATTTTTTTCAGGTCTCTAAGTCATCTCGGAGCCGAATTATGAGGTCTTGTAAATGGCGTTATGAGTCACGAATTTCTGAGGCAGACCCCGCCCACTTTGGTGCATGGTTAGCCCAACAATGGCATTCAACCCTACTCCATACCTCAATACTTATGCACATTTTCCCCGGTCGCCGGAACTTCTAGGAACCGAGTTATGAGAGCGGTGGCAAACTCCGCCCACATCCGGGTGTGCCACGCCCAGCGTTCACATTCAACCTCTACTCCTACTTTCACCTCTGGCGTATTTTTTTCAGGTCTCTAAGTCATCTCGGAGCCGAATTATGAGGTCTTGTAGGGGACGAAATCGAGCAACGTATCGTTGTGGTAAACCCCGCCCACTTCGTTACATGCCTCGCTCACCGATACCAAATGACTATCATCTCTTCCCCAACCTCATTCTACTATTTTCCCATCTCCGGAACTTATTGGATCCGAGTTATGAAGTACCGTGGCAAACTCCGCCCACTTTAATGCATGCTCCACCTGCCCACAGCACTTGACCCCCTTCCCTCTGCCAACCCTTATACGCTTTTCCCGGGTGTGTCCCCAACAGGCCCACCGCGCGGCGAAGCAAGAGACGCAGATGCGGCAAAGAGACGAGTTGCAGCGCGTGCTGTGCGATATGAGACGTAGTATGGTACACTCTTTAACCTGACGCCTAACCGCTACAGTATGCGCTGCGACTCGTCCCTTTGCCGCGTCTGCGTCTCTTGCTTCGCCGCGCGGTGGGCCTGTTGGGGGATACCCGTTTTCCCACACCCCGGGACTCATAGGAACCGAGTTATGAGGCTGGTTGCAAACTCCGCCCACATTGTTGTAAGCTACGCCCAGCCTTGACATTTAGCTTCTCCTCTTCTCCTAATTTGACGCGTCATATACAAAAAGAAAAGAGAAATAATGAAGTTGTGTTGATGAATTGTAAAATACACCAGCACTCCTCAGTGGCAGCCAAAGCAAAGGCGTTGACGCTAAGGAAAGGAAAAATAGATAAGGCTGGTAGAATGCGCTTGAACAATGAACATTACTTCTGCATTTTTACTACATAGTATGTTTCCAAAAAAAGCTGCAGAAATGAGGACATCGCTTTGAGAGTTTCCAGCGAATTCTTCGACTTTTTCCTGTTCGGGGAACCACTCAGCACCTGCAGGGCACGGATAGCGGCTTACCACAGCGCAATTCTTGAATGAATCCTTCCCGATAAATTCCTGAATTTTTCCCATCATGATTATGTCAGTTGTGATCACTAGATACAACATACAAAGGCACAAAGATTCTGTTTCCGAAGAGAAACAAACTTACGAAAACCACACTATGGACGGCAGAAGGTAGGTGGGCAGCAGACAAGAAAAGAAGTGCGCCTTAGGGCGGCCGTTATTAAGAGACACATTCAAAAATCTGATAAAAGCGTTCATTCTGGAGAATAAAGGTTATTCGATCGACAGAATAGCGTGCAGTAGAGAAGTGTGAGATAGCCATAGCCAGCACTTGTGACAGATGTGCGGGGCCGTCTTCCGGTTTTTCGAATCATTTAGCGAACTCAATTCGTTGTTCTTTTCGTTCTTATTGTGAGCGATGGGTCTAAGCCTGTGCTTCATGAGTGAGACAGAGGGGGATCCCTTTAGGAGCATCAATGGGACCTAACTCTCGTTAACAACTGGAATGAGTTTCCATGAACATCGACGGGAGCTCTCCAGATCCTCATTCACTTCTCATGAACACAACACATAGAAACTAGCTGCGACTAAACGGAGCTTGACCGTACCGCAAGTTTGAGACCATGCAGTCATTCCACGAAGACCCAAACTCTTCAGTCTACCGAGGATTCCTCCTGGAGCTACCCCTCAAAAGTAATTGAACCAATATGAAGAAAGCTGCCGAGAATGCGCGAAAGTCGTTCGTCGGTTGATGTCGGCATTCGCTTTTCTCGTTGAAACATCCTAATAGATTTCACTCCCAAGGGTGATCGGTCCATCTTTCACGCGGAACGTCAAACTGGCCGTCGATGAGAGGCGACGACGAAGAATTTGCATACCAGCCGTCACTTCAATCCGTTTGTCAGAAGCCATTGCTAGCTGAGAATTTGAGAAGAAAAAATAAATTTGTAAAGGTCTCGAGCAGGTGTGAAGAACCAAGCTTATTTCAGATTCCTGCAAACCACTGGTTTTTCAAGAATTCCTTATTTGTTCAAAACATCAAAATCAAATCAAAATCAAATTAGTTTACTACGTATCGGCAATGCGCGTGAATTTCAAAATCCTGAATAGAAGAATTCAGAATTGAAAAAAAAACCAAAATAAGAAACCAGTTGGGGTGGGCAAAATAGTCAAGGGGAAGTTCACCTAGGAATTTCAAGTCGGCTGTGATTGGACTAGAGAACCAACGAATTTTAACCGAAATACAAAAATTATGAAGTGACCTTTCTTTTACAACCTAGAAATGCTAAACTGTGGAAAAAATGTACTTTTTGGAGGCTCAAGCTTTGCAAGTACTGAGACTTAGCTGGTCGTCTCGATCCTCTATAGTACATTCTCCTCAAATCAAATAATCTTCGAAAGAGTTTAGAGCTTTTCTACTGCACGACTTTCCGATTTCTGGCAGCTGGCCGTCTGTACTTTAAATGAATTTCAAAGATACTTCGGACCGGAAACGATTTTCGTTTGAAAGAAAGTAAAAAAGACAAATAAAGAAAACAACAACACAATGTAAACATCTGAAAATACCTAGGGCTCAAACGCGGGCAGTTACGAGTTTGCCAAGATACCCTACGTTTAACCGAAGGACCGTAAACACGATACGGATGTCTCCGCCGTTGCTGCATGAGCTCTCGCCAGACATCTTAATCAGATGTGTGCTAGTCTCATGAGGTGAAAGAACGACTGCATTATATGTAGCCCACAGTTTTACTGATCAGTGAGATCTGCTGCCTCCAGTACATCACATTTCAGAGCAAGCGGTTGAAACATACACAACAGCTTATCTAGATCACACCTGCATGGCTCATGCTTGCAGGACCAACTGACAAAAAAACCGTCAAATAGCTTAACTGAGGCGCACATGTCCTCAAGAAAAACTGAATTTGAACAAATTTATTGCAAGAAGGATACGAGCGACCCTATAGAAGGTATGCCGTGCATTCAGTGTGCACGCTGACCATCAAAGAGTTGACGTAAATGAAGCCCACTCAACGTGCGCTGCTAAATACAGCATTTATTTGTTTGGGCTTTCTGCCAGCATTTTACTTTTGGAAGTGGAATGCCTTATTGGAACCCGTACAAACTGGTGGTTACTTCTCAAAATTATCCTTCAATCACCCGCTCCATTTTTCCATACGAAATCCGCAGTGACATCAGCACACAGCTTTCACATAAAAATCACCTTAAAACCCCAATTATATTAAAAAGTAGTTCATTAAGACTATAAGAAGATCGAAAGGCCAGCGGCTACCGTAATCGGCCATTGGTAACTGGGTAAACGCCTTCCTGAAATTCCCTAGGGATGGCTGAGTCTACGGCGCGATATGCTTCTCATCTTCGCTCATTCGCTATCAACGCCTTCTTCATGGCTCGCATCAGTCTTTCTGTAGCTGGCCCTTTCTACTGCAGTACCTCACGCATAGATTATCCCTTCTGAGCGATCATGAAAACATAAATGCTTCTTCCTCGAACGAAGCCTACTTTACTACTTAAGCTCCCACATCTTAACCTGAGCCGACTGTCAAGCAACAGTTCAGATATAAATTTTTATTGTCTGGACTTGTAAATTTTGTGAATTGAATTTAAATCTGTTCTAGTTATAAAACTTCCAAGATGTTCGCCTCCATTGATGCCTTATTATGCACGAACACAGGATCAGCTGCTGACACTCCCTTAAACTACTGCATCGAAGACGGTACGAATCGAATTTCTCTTCATGGAAGCACATAATTTCAAAGGGAAGGGATAAAACTATTAGATCGTTGGATGATCGCTTCTCAGGGGTTATAAGCCCAGTTATGCCCACATGCAGTATCCTATCCTTCTCCCATGTGAGGGAAACAGTATAGTCCTTTAAGGTGACAACTAGTATAGTCCTTTAAGGTGACTCGTTTTTGAAGATCCAGTTCCTTTACTTTCCGCAGTACGCTTGCTTTTACACACATATACATAACAAATATGTACTTTCTCAGAGCATTTTTCGGGAGGCAAATGAAATTTAGAGATTTTTTGTTTCCCTAACCTGGAGGAAAGGATAGTAATACGGCCCCATGTCATTATTAGGTTGAACTGGGGCAACCGCGCGTCCTACGAATAGCTCCAAGGTTCACAACAAGAACTCCTACTACAGTTTCACTCGTGGACCCTTTCGCTGTCCATTATGGCTTCGACAAAACCAATCTTCTTTAAAAAGCCCAACTCTGCAATTTCACCTGAGCCGTGATTTTAGTGAGAGTAATGACCGTCTCCTATTCTTCGAAGGCAGTGCCTGTCCTAAGGAGTCAAAAAGCTTTCCGGAACCGGATCCATCTTATGCTTTCAACTGCTCAAGGGCAACATAGACATGTCGTACAGATCGCGTCGTCGTGACGCCGGCCACGCCAAAGCACCTATGACCCTGCAGTGGGTGTGTGTGCGATCTCTCAGAAAATCTATAGTTATAGTGTCCCGTCTGTTTTATCCGATGAACCTACAAAAAACCAAAGGTCCCAGTTAAATGCACTGATGATAGCCGTTAACAACTGACTTATGCTAACTTTCCTGCTAAGTTCCACAAGAATGCTGAGTTACAATAAAAACCTTGACCCCAAGCGGGATTCATAGCCGCATCATCTTAACGCGTAATTGTGGTAACACTTACACCAGAGTAGCACTTCACCCTAGCTAAGCATTTGATGGTATGTTTACCATGCTTGGGAAACAGAAACGTCAAACCAATCTCTTTTCGGTATATTTGAAGGCACACGGGCTCACAGGAAGCTTTTCGTGATCACCTTTCGCGAGGATCTTGTAAGAGGACTACTTGTAGTCCCAAGCCTACACCGCGAAAAAAAATTCCTGTAGCTTTTGGAAGAAAAAGAATCAACGAATGAATGAGCGGCAAGTTAATGTCCGCGAGCTATACAACCCTACGCCTTGCCTCCACTAGGATTTTCATGATCGTAATGGCACTAGCTTCCAGGTAAACTCCGAAGATCGTCACAATGCAATAATCCTACTCCTCCTGCTACCCAACACTGCCAGTCATCGATGTTATCTTCTACAGCTACTCCTTGCGCTACCACTTTCCAAACGAATACTAATGTACCAGGTGAGCAGTGAAATGGCAATTTATGAGCTGCCCCAGAATGATTTTCGCTTTTCCAGTATCCTCATCACTTTTCTCGATCTCACCAAACTTCTCCATGGATCGACTACAGTATCCGCTTCTTGCACCGGCTGTCCCTCTACTCTACGATCAGTTGGCGCTAACCTGTACGTCATCACCTTGGACTGTAAGCGCAATTACTTTCGAGAATCTCAACAACAGCTTTTCAGTAGGAGCATGGCAAACATGGGGCAAAATGCGACGTCCTCGCACGGCATTCACCAGCGAGCAACTGATCGAACTGGAGCGCCAATTCAGCGAGAACAAGTACCTCAGCCGACCAAGACGATATCAACTCGCACAAGAGCTTTGTCTTACCGAAACCCAGGTACAGTCAGTTAAACCAAGCCCACGCTCAGGTAGATTTAAAAGCAACAATTGGGAGTATCTGCCATGACCGAGAAAAGCTACCAGTGTTTGCAGAGGCAGTCCATTGAGTGGGCTCTTAACCCATTCGTGACAATGTCAGCCACCGGTGGCTGACAAAGCTCTCACTCGGGACAATGGCATTACTGTGGCTGCAGGGCTTGAAATGGAATTTGGAAAGTTTTCTTCCATGAAAAGAATCTTCATACCCTCGCTCATCTACGCCAGCCCTGGGCAGAGGAAATCTCCCTCCACTCGAATTTTATTGAAGAAAAATCTCCTGACGCTGCTGCTATTGCGCAATCCTGCGCGGTCGCGAATGGGTTAAAAAACATGTCATGGCAGAAGAAATTTTCCAGCCACCCAGACTACCCTACCCACCCCTGCTGCAGCCTACTAGCATAACCCTTTCCCTCCTCCCCCTTAATCCTTCTTCCTCAAATTTGATCTCACCTTTAACAACCTGCCTATATTCCGAAGAGCGGAGGCGTGGAAGGGTAACAAGGGAACTATACATAACAGTAAAATGAACAAAACAGTTCCATTCCTACAATTATTTTATCAAATTCTAAACATTCCTCAAATCCCTGGAAAAAGAGACCTCAACTATAAAGCTTACTGCACCCAACAATTCAGTTGAGCTAGCTAATGGAAGATCAGAATGATTCTTGTATTGGAAAACGTTGGCGCCTTCTGTTCGCTCTACCGCTTCGGCTAATCGCGGCTGTACAGCTGCGGCTGATTAGCAGCAGAACCCGGAGGAGGGAAATGGAAAAACCTAATACTACTTCCTTCATTGACAGTTTGATACTTCAGGTGAAGATTTGGTTCCAAAACCGTCGCATGAAGAACAAACGCTGTCAAGCACCCCTCATCAGTCCTCAAACGTCCGAACAGTCACAGGTTTAGTCTAGTCACAACCATATATTTCTTCGAAGATCGCCTACAATTAATAAACTTATACGAAATCGGTGTTTGTGCATTCAGCCATGTAAACAAATGAATTTTGCTTGAACTCGCAACAGCGTGAGAAATTCAGGAGCTCAATACCCATTAAACGGGTCGTGGTTTAAGACAGAATTTACGATGAAAAGTTAGCTTGATTGGAAATAAGCAGAGGTGGTCAGTGGAGCAGGGATGAAGAAGAAACCATTTGAAACGGCCCGAAACCCGAGAAATGGGACCCCTTCCTTGCCCGTTGATTTGCGCATTGATGCGACTCTCATCGCTGTGCCCTCTTCAACACTACTCTCTCTGCTATCTAATCACTCGCCACGTATAGACCTGCGGCGAGTGATTAGATAGTCGGTGGGCGTACCCCGCCAACCGCGCCAAGAGTGAGCCATGCTAGATCGCCGAGGTCGCTGCCAAAAGCGCATTGGTCAGCACCCCCCTTTTTTGTTCATTGAACATTTATTTTGGCGTAGTAATGTGGAACATATAATTTAAATACATTGGTCCTGAAGGCTACATTTTCTTCTTTTTTTCCCATTAAGAAATTCCATACTGAGGAAATTTTTCTCCCGTTCACAATCCATATTATAGATTGAAGACCTTTGGCTCACGCTACTTTGAGGTGAACCCGAAGGCGCAGAAAGAGCCGGGAGTGGGATACTCTTGAATTTCCAATTCTTCCAGCGTGTCTACGTCCCTAGTGATCATGTTCTGGTCCCCAGCACTAGCGTGTAGGAAGATCACCTTGCAGAAAATTTCAAAATTTTTTAATTTCCTCTCTTTTCCAACGGTAGTTATTCTGCTCATTTCCGAACCTCAATGGTGGCGACATCTTCCATATCAACCCATTTGCGGACCGGTTATGAACGTTTCGATTTGGTCACCTCAGAATTTTTGAAACCAAATTCTGCATACGATTTTCAGCGGAGCAGATTCAGCATTTTTGCAGAAGCAAACGGTGTGCTTCATCTTATTTTCCTCAAGTCTACAAAGTGTTATGTAGTGCGAAGTGCATTGAAAATAAACCTCGTTCAGTCTCGGCCCTCTCCTCTCTGATAAAAATTACAACATTGCTCTCACGTTATTCATTAGTTTAATGATTGGTGATTTAGTGAGAAAAAAGAATATACGTAACTGGCGTATAAGGGAACTCCTTTACAGTGTGCAAGCAATTAGGATACCTACACACTAGTAGCTTTTATTTAATTTAGAACTTCTTGTAGTGTGAAAATGTTCAAACGAGTGTTTTTAAGCTTGCCTTTCCTACAGTACAGTGCTCAAGGCTATTCCGTGATCGGATACGAACAAGTGGTATAGCAAAAGCAAACCTGAACTATTACAGCAAAAGGAACTAACACGCAAAGCCCTAACCCCATTCTCATTACTACTCTTTACGGGCAATCCTACTACAAAACCATCCTACATCCATAGCTCTATGTTGTTCTTGTTTTTCTTTCATCCACAGAAAAAAATCCAAAAAGCTAAATCTCCACAATAAGAACGTGCTACGCTGAAACTTGGAAGTATAATCAACTATTAGATCTCACCTGAAGAAATTTGACAGCGAGAAGATAAGTCGATTGATGGTTATTATAAGCCGGTCTTAAGGATAGTTGTGAGAATGCATAGACGGTTCAATTGGGCGCTTGAACGAACGTCATCACACTCATCCGCTGATTCTTAACTGAAATTTCGCAGATGTTGACCTTCCGAACGAAATCATTAGAAGTGGCATGCCATACCATACCAAATCTGCAGCGATCGTAGCACCACAGTGAATACTTTGAAAGGACACACATAAATAATACAACGCACATATGTTTCTAATATATGCACTAAGAATGGATCTCTGAGAAATGGTAGGTCTTACCTTCGGAAGAAAATTTCTTCGCAACGTATGACTTGATATTGTACCAAGGTGCACTGGCTGCTGCTTCGCTCTCCCAGCAGTGGAGAACCTCTACACTTCTTTTTATGGAAATCGAAAAGGACCCATACTTACCTGCCAGGGAAAAAATACGAACCTGAAAACCAGCTTATAAAGCTACTACTTTCGCTCTGTTTCATTCAATTGTTCGAAAGTGCTTGTGATGTAATGCACATCGGAGGCCCCTTTATCTGTGGAGAAATGTCAAATTTTCAATTTTTGACGTCTTCATCTTTAAAACTCCACCAACTCTCGGAATTTCTCTATGAACATCTTGTGCTTTATACCTAAAGCCAATGCAAAACCACTTCTTTCAAGAGGCTACACTTTAAACCTCATCCACCGTAATCCGCTTCGCAACAACTACAGTATACCCAAGTTTCGTGAGGAATTCTATAATTCGCAGAAATGATTCATGAACAACTCTCTGAAGGTTTGATGACGGATAATAGAAAAGCGGCAACACACGCCCAAAACACATCACGCTGATATCAATAGGTCCGACGCAACTACTCCCACGGGGAAAACTCGCCGCGCCAACGACGCAAAGCCGACACATGATATTCATTAGTACGGTATCCACAAGGGGATTCCATCAAGTGCCGCCGCCTCTAAAATTCCCATATTCCATGGAAACAGGCATCATTTATAAAATTCGTTCATTTAGTATGTACATGGAGGTGATTGAAAGCATAGGGATATGGATCCTCACATAGAATGGTGATCTATTTAGGCGACCACGATCAACAACAATAAAATAGTAACCAAAACAACATATAACTTCTTTCAACAATGTATAAAACATGTAACGAATGAACGATTTTATGAAACAACTTAAATCAACAATACCGCATTAATGCAACCGTCATTTTCAGGATTATTCGTCACTTGAGCAAATTTTCCCCAAACAACCTAAAAATGCAAGTAAATCATTGAATAAACGATCAATTCTGCAAAAAAAAACTATTAGATTCGAACAAACCAAAACATGACATGATTCAAAAAGAGGCAAGCTCTTCAAAAACCCACCTTTCCTCCTTGCGTAACCATACCCAACTCAGATACGTTCACTTCAATTATAGTACCCTTCGTGATTACTCCTAATGAAGTATACATCTGACTTGAAGGATTCTTCTTCACCCCAACTATCGGGAGACAGAAAGTCGTCTGCAACTCAGGATGAGTAACGTGAGCCTGAAACGAATCATATCAAGTGGCAGCATACAGTAGTGACGCAAACGAGAAAAATAGCAGATTTTAGGGTAGAAAAATGTGATATCCCCGACCAAAGTCTAGCTTATCTGGATATGTTGCGGGCAAAGTAAGATACAACGAGCAGCGTCATATGGCGCAATTTCATGGCAAGAAAGCCATACAATTCTAGAAAGTAGAACCTTGGTAACGAAAATCGTTCGGTGCTGGGACAACTGATGACGAGTAATTTAATAGGCCACTCGCAAAGAGAATAGTGAGAGTGCAGAAAACAGAGCAGCGAATCGGTCATCAGATCAGGCAACCATGAGTGAAGAGTGGTGCACTCGGCGACAACTACCTTGATTAGTTCCATCAGACGCACCTTCAGAATGATAATAGGAATCAGTGGTGCGTTCACCATGCAGAAAAATCGGAAATAGAAAACTTGCACATGCAGGGGGCACTCTTGCCACACTGCCGAACTTCTTAATTTCCAGCCGTTTCCGAAAAAAGGTTGGCAAACCATGGATGAGGAAAAAAGTATGATTTGAGAAAACTCATAGGCATCAAACGCCAAGGAGTCGATCGGATTTAAGGAGCAATCACGGACCCCTGCAACGTATCGAACCAAGTGTTCTCGCACTAAATGCCTCTCCCTGCCTTAAAAACACATCTCATCTTACCATTACAGGACAAAGACAGTGAACTTCAGTCATGAAAACGCAGCTGCTAGAGGACCCGCTGGTTGAAGTGGAACGAAAACCACTGCAAATACTCAAAAAGTTCAACCTCGTTGTAGTTGTCATTGAGCCATATACGAGGCTACAGCGGAGACACCAACAAGGGAGGTCTTTCAGGGCAAGGTGCGCTTTTGGAAACGGTTTAGTACATGTTGTAGGGACGCATGTATGGACCACAAAACCATGTTTCGTTTTCGCTGAACGGTTTTAGTAGTACCAAAAAAGTGGTGAATAATACTCTTGATGGTTCAATCCCCCGCGGCGACTAAATTTTGCAATCAAGGTTGGCGGCCACTTGTTGGCTTCAAAATGGTCCTGACGATGAATTTGACATCTGATTTTGATATTTAGCGCGATTTGGCACCAAACCGTAGGCGCCAACCCAAATGCAAAATTTAGTCGCCACGGGGATCGAACCCTTAACAGTACCTTGCTTCTTTTTTGGTACTGCTATAACCGTTCAGCGAAAATGAAACATGGTTTTGCGTTCCCTACATGCGTCCCTACAATATGCACAAACCGTTTCCAAAAAGCGCACCTTGCCCTGAAAGACCTCCCTTGTTGGTGTCTCCGCTGTAGCCTCGTATATGGCTCAATGACAACTACAACGAGGTTGAACTTTTTGAGTATTTG